CCTGAGCCCGCCGCCGCCACCGCCCGGGCTCTACTTCAGCCCCAGCGCTGCGGCCGTGGCCGCCGTGGGCCGGTACCCCAAGCCCCTGGCCGAGCTGCCGGGCAGGACACCCATCTTCTGGCCCGGGGTGATGCAGAGCCCGCCTTGGAGGGATGCACGCCTGGCCTGTACCCCCCGTGAGTACTATCGCGGGCCCGGATCCCTGTTTCCTATGCCTGCTTTCGGGTCACAGCACCTAGTGTGCCCGCGGATGGGTCGGTCCTCCTGGACACCCCAGTAGTTTGGCAGTGCTAGAATAGCAGGCTGTTGCCTGGACCCGGGCGTCTAGGGAGGGATGCCAAATTTCCTGAGTTCGTCAAGTCTCAGGCAGGCCTGGGCTCCGCGGGAAAGCAAGTGTCGGAGGGCGAGTTTTTGTCTGGGCTGCTCCTGAAACGAACCAACTTTGGGTTACAGAGTTGGAAAGCGGCGGGAGAAGGGAGAGGCTTCTGCACTCCTGTTTTTCTGGCTATTTCCAGCCAACCAGAGTCAGGCCTTCAGAGCCTGACCCGTGTTTTCCGCAGACCCAGGAGGGTAGGCAGGACAACTATCCACGGTCCCAAGAAAAGCAGGCATTTGCATGCATACCTTCTCCCCTGCCGCTCCAGCTCACATTTTAGTCGTCTCCCCGCACACTCCCAGCACACTTGTTCACAGTTAACCTGCTGATGAGGGGCCGGTGGTTCCCAGAACGGGACCTGGGCTCTCCCTACTCCTGGATCCCAGGGTCCTTGGCAAGTTGGATCTGGGTACAAAGAAGAGGCTTAACACAAGAAAAGAGAGGGAGAGAAATATGACCCGTGACAGGACGCAGCAGTAAAACGTAACACCCAAAGACTTTGTCTGGGTCACCTCGATGACCCAAGATCTGGGTAGGCTTCTGGCCAGTGAGCCACAGCTCCTAAAAGGCTCCTCGCCCCCAGATGGCGTCCAGGGCCCGGTTCAGATCCTTCTCTCACTCTGTTCTTTAATGGTGACCAAGTCCCCGAAGTTAGTCCAAGTCACTGGGCCTCCTTACTTGGGGCTTAGTGGCAATAACTTCAGTTACTGAGGAAACCAAGTGGGGCTCTCTTGGGAAGGTGACTCCTTAGGGCTATTGGGGTGTTGGGGACGTGTATCAGTGTTGATTGTAGGGATCGCCATAAGCTGTGGTTCCCCCCTCCTTCGTTCTCTTCCTCCAGCCCACAGGGGCCTCAGAAGAAGGACCAGTTAGCTCTCAATTGTGCAAAACACAAGGAGCCTTTTGTTGCCCAACACAGGTTAGGGAAAAATCAATTACCTTCGTACCAAACTACTTCTCTTCCGGGCGCAGAGACTAACCCGGGAGGCCAGGGCGACCTTTCTCGTGCATTCCTGCTTAGTTTAAGGGGGTGGTGTCCCATTTCAGCTCTGCACTCTTTAGCAGCGGCCTCCCTAGTTATTTGGCACCGTGGTTAAGCGTAAAATATTTACTGCTGCCCCAACTGCACCTGGCTTCGACAAAAGTAGTGAGCAGAAGCCGGCCCAAGGAAGCTCGGAGTGCGCCTCTGGCGCAGACCACGGACAAGCGACTGCGCCTAACTTTGCTAATTCTCATCTTGCTCCCACTCCTCCATGAAGCACCGTAACTGGTTGCCTCGTCCCTCTCTGATTATGATATCGGTTCTTGCAGATCAGGGATCCATTTTGTTGGACAAAGATGGGAAGAGAAAACACACCAGACCCACGTTCTCTGGCCAACAGATCTTCGCTCTGGAGAAGACCTTCGAACAAACGAAGTACCTGGCGGGGCCAGAGAGAGCTCGCTTGGCCTATTCTTTGGGGATGACGGAGAGTCAGGTCAAGGTGAGTGGACCTTTGACACTTCCAGGGACAGCGTTCTCGAACGTGCGTGTGTGCGCCCCCCACCCCGTGTGTGTGTTTGTGTTCATACGCACGCGCCTGTATTTCCCCCCTCCCCAAACTGACAATTCTGGTGGAGGTGGGGTGCGCTCTGGGGAGCCTAGGGAGAAGTGGGGAGCGGACGAGAGGGTTGGGGCCCTGGGGCCCTGTTGATGAACAAAAGGGGTCAAGTCCCCGCCTTAGAAATTAGGCTAATCTAGACTGCAGCCAGTGCTGGGGGAACTCGCCCTTAGCAGAGAATAAAAGCACTGAGGAGATATCCCCGAGCACAGATCGAGCCGATTAGAAAGCTTGATTTGTTTTATTTGTAAAGACACTCAAGTTTCTGTTAGTCAAGTCAGGCCCCACTAGATATATAATTTCCTAACGGGGAGCAGCTATATTAATTGCAGTGCTATATTAATTTGTAGGTTAAAGGGAAATGAATTCAGAAGAACGTAGCACTGATAACTTGCTTTGGCTTAGACGAATACCATCGCTTTGGAATAGTCATTTTCCAAATGAGCTGGCAAGATTTTTAGTGCATTTTAGGGTTGAACTCTCTTAAAAGCAAGTTTACCTGCAGAATTAAGATACTGCAGTTTATGACAATTTCCAAGTGAGATGTCACTCTGGCTATAATTGAGTTGTGTACTTCATATCTAGGAAATCAAATTTTAGAAATCTGTCCCTGAAAGTAAAGGGATTGAACCGGCTGTGTAAATTCAATGGATGGTTTTCTGGCTTTCTGTGTTCTCTTTGTCCATTTCAGTTTGTTGCGTTTGTTTCTTTAGGGGGTGTGTGGGGGGGGTCTGCTTTCTTTAGTTATATTGTTTCTCATTAAGAAGTCACATCATTGAGCTACTTAGAGTTTATTTCCCTGCTAGGCAAGCATCTTACAATATATTTCAATTGAGATTTTTTTTCACGTGGCCATTAGAAAACCATCACATTCGAAATTATTTTTTGCAGTGGGTGGCTAGAGAGCTTACCACCTTTATCTGGAGGTCTTCGTTTGCCACCATAAATACGTCCGTATGGCCAGAAATGAATTACTATAGCAGTATAAAGAAAATCACTTTTCTTAAGAGTTCTAATTCCCTGGATAAAATAAATAACAGATGAGAGGCATACAATGAGAACAGTTCAACATGTTCGGAAAACTGATTGTTTTTTACCCGGATTGTAAAGATTAAAATACATGTGTCAGTCCATGTCAAACATGAACAGGTTGAACATATTCGTATTGCAAATGACTATCTTAGACAGGAGCAGTATTACACTAAGGTTTGAAAGACGAGGCAAGATCATAATTAAAAAAAATGTAGCCGGCAACTTTTCCATTTAAAAATAGTTAATGGTAATAATATTAGTTTTATGAACAACATTGAGGGTGGGTAAAGAAACTCAGCACTGAGCTGTTAAATATTTTCATGTGCCTGTGTTGGTTGCTATGTGTGAACTGAAGTTGCCATTTTATCAGAAAACTTTGTTTCACGCATCTTAAGTGTTGTGGAGAAGAGAGGAGGATTGACCAGCGAAGTTAGTGAGGATTCAGGCCTCTGATAAGTGAGCAGTCAGGTGTTCAAAAGTGAGAAACACAGTGGAGATAATTGGATTTAATACTATGCTCTTCCGTACAAATCACACAACACTGTAGTGGTTTGAAACTTCTTAATCTACGGATAGAATTAAGGACTAAAATCCACTACTATCGGAATACTAAGGAAGTTTTCCGTTTCTAGCTGGAACGTAGGAAAAGCAAGTTTATTTTTAGGGCAACTCCAAGTCTTGCTTTCACTCTTTCGGAGAAATGGCTTACGACCGGCCTCAATGCTCTTGTGTTACTATCGCTATGGCAACGGCGGTGGGTTAGTGAGGCCACCAGACTGACTTTGACGCCTGGACCTCGGGGGCCCGCAAGGGAGGGTGAGGAGGTGGGAGCCTGGGTCTTCCAGCGCTCAATCACCCTCTTCCCGGCTCTGCCTCCCGCCTCCTGCTCTCTCTCAGGTCTGGTTCCAGAACCGCCGGACCAAGTGGAGGAAGAAGCACGCGGCCGAGATGGCCACGGCCAAGAAGAAACAGGACTCGGAGACCGAGCGGCTCAAGGGGACTTCGGAGAACGAGGAGGACGACGACGATTACAACAAGCCTCTGGACCCGAACTCTGACGACGAGAAAATCACGCAGCTGCTGAAAAAGCACAAGTCGAGCAGCGGCGGCCTCCTGCTGCACGCGTCGGAGGCCGAGGGCTCATCCTGAGCGCCGCCCGCAGCGCCGGGATCCGTGCCGCTCAGCCGGTCGCCCGGGCCCCAGCACCCCGGCTGCTCCCCGGGCCTTTACTATTTTCTAAGATGTACATATCTATTTTTTTAACCTAGAAATTGTGGCGGGGGCTGAGGGTAGGACGGCGCGTTGATGAGAAGGAAGGGAGCCCGCCGAGTGTACTGCGCAAAAACAAAAAAACAAAAAAAGACCCCGCAGCCGAACCCGCAACCCCACGGCTTCCCAGGACCCTTCCCCCCCGCGACGTCCGCCACGCCCCCCCCCCCCACACCACCCTCATCCAGGTTCGGTCCCTGGCTCTGCGGTCCCTGAGCTCCAGGTCGTGTTTCTGAAGAGTCGACAGTCAAAGCCTGGTGGGAATCTCCGAGCCACCCAGGGCGTCCGCCTCCTAGGGAAAAAGAGATGCTCCTGCGGCCCACAACTGCTCAACCCACTAAGTAACCTGTTGAAGGCTCTATGTAAATAAATCGTGAGTCACACTGACTAGAAGTTACTTTATTGTGAATATTTAAAATGTAAAATGCTTTTTGAAATTTAGTATAAAGAGATGGACGTTTCCTTCCGTTGGTTTTAAGACCTAACACACCACTTGGCCGGCTTTCATTTTAAGTTGGGAATGTAGGGGGAAAAATGTCGTTGCCCTTCCCAGACACCTCCCTACTCACTCCCCTTACGCCTCTGGATCTTTCCAAATGGCTTTTCCCCTTCACCAGTTCTGTCGGGATCGGCAGACCTCGCTGGGCCCCAGGGCAGCCCCCAAGTCCTCCCCGCTCTGCAGCCCGCCCCAGGACTTGAAATTGCAGAACCCACAAGCTTCTCACACCAACTTCTGGGTTCCCTTCCGAAATTGCACAGTCGTTTGTTGCTATTTATTAGTGATTTAAAGAAAATATTGGGGAGGGAGGGGCTACAATATCTTGTATTTAATTTAACTCCTTTCTGATAAAAAATGCGTAAAAGTAGATGTTGGGAATTGGTGCAAGCTCTCTGGGTCAGAACACGAAAATTCCATTTAGTTGCTGCAACCCAATCCGAAGTGTTTTGTATTATAAGAATACTATAGAATATGTAAATTGTTTTCTTTTAAGCTAATAACAATGACATATTAGCCTCTTTAACATTTATTAATTTATACGGAATTCGGTTTGTAAAGAAAAGGCAGCCCCTTTGCGAGACCCATGAAATGTAATGCACTTTCTGTTTTGAAGGATAAATCTAATTAAAAACAGCAACAAAAAATAGTTTGAATATGTCTGTTGCCTTGAATGAACGGGTGCAGATCACCTGGCCTCATCAGTGATTTCAAATAGAAGTCAAAACCACAAAAAAGGGTTAGGTAGGCGTCCTGGGTAAAATAGCTCCTCCTCCCCCCTCCTCCTCCTCATCCTCCTCCTCATCCCCACCATCACCAGCAGCAGCAGCAGCAGCAGCAGCAGCAGCAGCAGCAGCATCTTCACCATCTCCATCATCTGTTCTTTGAAGGAATCACACCTACCCCCTGGTATGGAAGGATGGAGAGACTGTCCTCTTATCAGAGCTTCCTGCAACTGTCTAGCGGATGCTTGTAATTTCTCTCCTAATTTTTTCCCTTATTTTCCCCCTTTTTCCAGGAAGCCTCTGGGGAATCTAGGAAGACCTCATTTCCTTGTATGGATGCAGTTCCTCAGGCAACCTCTGATTCAATCAACTTAGGGAGAACAGGGTGCTAGCTGCCCGACTGCAGTAGTTACCTAGCACAATGCAGAAAAGTCAGGAGCCCCGAATTCCCCAAACAGGACAGAGAACGGAAAGAAAGTATCTTTTTAAATGATGTGGCCTGGCAGCCTTTAGAATTACAGACACAGTGCCCCAAGCGTCTTCAGTGAGAAATAGGTTGATCCAGGGCACTGGGGGCGGGGGCAGTTACTGTATTGGGACCTTGGGTGGGTATGGGCGTAATTAGCTATTGTTTTGTTTTCAGACACTCAGTTACAGGTCCAGGGAGATGTAGTTTCTCCTTCGTGATGTAGATTAATGAGCCTGTGTCCAGAGAAAGGCAGATCAGTGGTACCCCTATTCTTTACTTCAGGGAAAGCAAGTGTGAGAACTGTTTGATTTTCTAGAGAATGCAGATTTGAAAAACATGGCTTTCTCCCCAGAAGTTGGAATGGCTAATGGTAATCCTTGGGGTGTATATTCCCTCCTGGTTTTCGGTTTTTCAAGATGTAGCCCTGGTTGTCCTGGAACTCAGTCTGTAGACCATACTGGTCTCACAGAGATCCGCCTGCCTCTGCCTCCCAAGTGCTGGAATTAAAGGCCTGTGCCACACCATCTGGCCAACTGTGATGTATATTCCTTATGACACGGTTCATTGGAAAAGAAGGAAGGAAATCACCCAACTGTTACTGTCTCCAGTTTGCAAAGTTCTTCAGAAGTTTCGAATGCATTTTGGTTTCTGTGTTCTTAGCAAGACTGAGGTATTCATCCTATAGAAGGCAGCTGGATTGCCAAGAATGCTTTACTCTGCAGGGCTGGTAGCTGGTTAAGGCTAACTGTGAACAGGCAAAAAACCACCCTCTTCTCCATTCCGTTTTCTCGTTTTCTTCATCCTTTCTTTCCCTCTTCTCTCCCTTTTCAGTATTTTACTATCTCTCTCCAGCCTTTCAATTATTTCCCTCTTTGTCAGTTTCCCTCCCTCCTTCCCTCCCTCCCTCTTCCTCCCTCCCTTCCTTCCCCCCTCCTTCTCCTTCCTTCCCTCCCCCCTCCCTCCCTCCCTCCCTCCCTTTTCCCCTCTTTCCCTCTCTGTCCTTCTTCTTCACGGTTTTTGAGAAAGGGAACAAACACATTTGCTATTTTCAATGACACTTTATTGAAAAACATAAAAATCCGTTTCCCACTGTACTCTTGTCAACTTTTAACCTCTCTGCTGCATGAAAAAGCTAGGAAGCAAAAGGAAATAAAAATTTACACTGCAATTAAAACATTGTTTCTGGATAATGATAACAATAATTCATAGTTGGAGAAACGATACAATAATAGGAGTCATAGAAAACTTGAGTAAGACTTAATGTGTTTCTCAGGAAGTGAATCATTTGAAGGCTGACAGTGTTTATTTCAGGTTGGACTTGTCGAGAGGTCTTGTCACAATTCTCTCTGTGCTTGGCGTCTTTAAATGTAGCCTCCACTGTACCCAACCCTTTAAGTTGGAAGCGGTGGCAAGAGGCTCTGCAGGGACCTGAGCTGGTGGTCCTGGGCTCTGGGGCCTGGCTGCACTGACACCCACCTTTTTTTTTCCAGTTGACTGCAGCAGTGACTTGAGGTTTCCAGTTAATTTACTTCCACACCAAACTCCAGCTGGCCACGGGTTAACACCAGCCTGTACAGCTGGTAGGAAGGGGGAACTGGGTGGAGGGTGTCTCCTCTGCTTCCCTTTGTCTGGGTTGGTTTGGTTTCTTTCTGTGTGTATACAAAAAGATAATTCTGCCTGAGAGTTGATGTGGTGGGGAAACTGAGGAAGCACATTTCCAGTACAAGCAGCTAAGGAGAAGAGTCCTTTGGTTTTTCATTTTGTTTTGCTTTTCATTTCTGCTTTAAAATGCTGTGGTATTAACAACCATGAGCACCTGATGGGCCGCCAGCCTTCACAGCTAGAGATCCATGACTGAAAGCCAAAAAAAGTTCCAAGGGATTTGATAGACCACTGCTTTTACAAGTACAAAAAGTGAAGTGTGTGTGCGCGGGCACACACACACACACACACACACACACACACACACACACACGCATGCACGCAAGAAAGGGAGAGTACAGTGTTTTGATTTTTGTTGTGTGTGTTTCTTTTCCTAAAAAGGAAGTCAGTGAGGAGGCTGGTTGAGGTTTGGGGGCCTGCAGTGGAAGGGAACAAGTCATGTCCTGGATTTGCTGTTCTTGCTCAGTTCTCTTCCATACAAGCTCAATTTTCCTATGTAGTGATTAATTTTCCCTTTGGGTTACATTCAGGATTCTGAAATCAAGCCCATATGCTTTCCTTCCAGAAGCTGGGGGTGGGGGTGTTGGACATGTTTCCAAGTTTGAGAGCATCTTAATCTACTTTTCTTTTTCTTATTGAGGACAGTGGGAAGAGAGAGGACTCCAAGGGCAGGAGGTTTGTTCTGGAGCCCTGCTCTCTTTGGACATACTGTATGTTCTATGTTAGAAGCAAAGGGTGTCTTTGAAATCTTCTGCTCTCTAGGGTCAAGAGATGAGAATGGTAAGCCAACACTAACTTGGGGAGGTCTCCCTCCCGTTCAAGTTGGTGGAGGGGACTAGGAATGCACACACACACACACACACACACACACACACACAGAGAGAGAGAGAGAGAGAGAGAGAGAGAGAGAGAGAGAGAGA